TACCGTCTTGTGACCATGTCTATCCCCTTATGACCACAGTGTACCATCTTGTGACCATGTCTATCCCCTTATGACCACAGTTTACCGTCTTGTGACCATGTCTATCCCCTTATGACCACAGTGTACCATCTTGTCCCTTTATGACCACAGTGTACCTTTGTCTGACCATGTCCATCCCTTAATGACCACAGTGTATCATCTTCTGACCTTGTCCATCACTTTATGACCACAGTGTACCATCTTCTGACCATGTCTATCCCTTTATGACCACAGTGTACCATCTTCTGACCATGTCCATCCATTTATGACCACAGTTTACCATCTTCTGACCATGTCTATCCCTTTATGACCACAGTGTACCATCTGTCTGACCATGTCCATCCCTTAATGACCACAGTGTGCCATCTTCTGACCATGTCTATCCCTTTATGACCACAGTGTACCATCTTCTGACCATGTCTATCCCTTATGACCACATTGTACCTTTGTCTGACCATGTCCATCCCTTTATGACCACAGTGTGCCATCTTCTGACCATGTCTATCCCTTTATGACCACAGTGTACCATCTTCTGACCATGTCCATCCCTTTATGACCACAGTGTACCATCTTCTGACCATGTCTATCCCTTTATGACCACAGTGTACCATCTTCTGACCATGTCTATCCCTTTATGACCACAGTGTACCATCTTCTGACCATGTCCATCCCTTTATGACCACAGTGTACCATCTTCTGCCCATGTCTATCCCTTTTATGAGCACAGTGTACCGTCTTCTGACCAAGTCCATCCCTTTATGACCACAGTGTACCATCTTCTGACCATGTCCATCCCTTTATGACCACAGTGTACCTTCTTCTAATGGCTACTTCCAGCAGCATAAAGCAAAAGCATGAATAATCTCACTAGTTTCTTGATCACGACAATGATGAGTTCACTGTACTGGAATGGCTCCACAGTCACCAGATCTCAATCCAATAGAGCATCTTTGGGATGTGGTGGAACGGGAGATTCACATCATGAATGTGGAGCTGACAAATCTGCAGCAACTGTGTGATGCTATCATGTCAATATGGACCAAAATCTCTGAGGAATGCTTCCAGCACCTTGTTGAACCTATGCCATAAAGGATTAAGACAGTTCTGAAGGCAAAAGGGGGTCCAACCCGGTACTAGCAAGGTGTACCTAATAAAGTGGCCGATGAGTGTATGTGGTTGAGGTGACTTTGGCCACACTCTTCAAACAGTGGTGTCCAATCGTGGTCCTCAAGGGCCACTACTCTGCATGTTATCAATGTGTTTTTGAGTTCTGCAGGAACCTGTCAATCACTCATTCAGTCAAAGCTGATAAACAGCTTAGACATGCAGAGTGGTGGCTCAAATACCACTGTCCTAGAATGTGGCTGCAGGAGGAAATGCGACCCCAGATTTATCAGATGGCTGGTATTAATTGAAGAAAAAAGTAAAATGTGCCCTTGTAGCTCCACTCCAAGCTCAAAATTACATCACTTTCTGAGAGCACCATCAGTTTAATTTTAAATCATAATGTGCTCYTTGGAAGAAGACTCATGAGGTCTTCACTGTTGATTAAAAAAAAAAAACGACAGGAAGGCGCTAAATTCATGTTGACAAGCCTCAAAGTTTGTGGGACTGATGAAACAAAACTGCAACATTCACAATGAAAAGGGCGAAAAATGTAATTTAATACGTCTGTTACACTATAAACAAATGTTCTCAGTCAGCCACCTTGTAGTTAATTTTTCACATTTATTGAATTTCATTTATCACAGTACACTTATTGCTCAGTATGGTTCAAAATATAATCAAGTTTAGCACATTCAAACAGCACCTTATTGTTGCTAAAATACCTGTTAGAATTAAACGTCATATGGTGACACATCGTTGTTATAAACCTATAAATACCCTTATTTATTATAATTACACCGTTGACGTTCAGTGATAAGAACTAAAGCCAGMTCACAGTGGCACTGCCTCCTTTGAGGATCAGTACAGACGACCTTTTCTTACGATTGAAATGTCTCCATGTTTATTTGTATTTTTCCAGAATGAAGAAATCTGGTCTGAAGCCTGCAGAGGACCAACACCCGGCAGAACAACCACAGGGTGGCGCTAACCAGCACACACCTGCAGATAATCAATGCAGCTCAGCTGAAGACTGGCACACTTCGGCTGAAGATGGGTGTGCGCCATTGGATGATGAGTGCGCGCCATTGGATGATGAGTTTGCACAAGGGGATGGCCAGTACGACGCCGGTGACGGCCAGTATGCAGCCACCGAGCAGTACACGCAGGAGTACACGGAGTTTTCAGAGCAGTTCCAGTATGCTTAAAGCTGGACTGGGATGAACTGTGCAGGCTTCAGTCAGGACTTGGTCTGACCCTCTACCCCCCACCCCCCAAACACACAAACACACACACATTAACAAACCAACACCTCCACCAACCTCCAGCTTCTGTCTAACTCTGTCCTCTCAGTAGGTTTCTGCCTCAGTTTGAACCTGAACTTCCTCGTTGTGTTTTCTTTAAGTTTTAAGCTAAGACTGTCTTTACAGTGTGACTTTTATTTGGTTCTGAGTAAAAGGAGATTTTGTACGTGTAAATTATTGATGTTAGTTTTTCCCTTCAGCGTGTGTTAAAGTAGTGATGCTCAAAGGAAGGTGGGATTGGTTTTTATTGTGACAAATCCACACAATGATAGACTTGCATCAGGGCTGGATATCATTACATTTTATCACGATGCAGCTTAGTATCTAACTTTTTTTTATTTTTATTTTTTTAACCAAGTCTAAAAAAAAGCCAAAGTTATAAATATGTGTACACTGCAAAAACTGTCCAACTAACCAAGTTTTAAAANGACCAAATACAGCCCATAAATAAAGCACATGACAAACTGAGGGTGTTACTCTGCAGGTAGTCAGTCCTCAGTCCACAGGCGGACTGATCGGTACCGGCGGTCCGGACCGAGGAAGGGTTTTTGGTGACTGGGCTCCTCCTGTCCCAGTTTCAGAGTGACCAAGTGCAGCTGAGGAGCAGAGGGTGAAGATAAGGTCTGTGGTGCTGGCTGTCAGTCAGAAGGACCCTGGTCCACTGCAGGATGCTGTGAGTGAGTCTTCACTGAAAAACAAAAAACTAAGTAAACACACATCTGTTGGCACATTTAGATTACAAGCTGAGCTTCGTCTGTTTTGTTCATTAGTGAGTTGTACAAGAAAAAACAAAAAATGAACTGTGTCGGTTTGGAGAACTAGTTAATGTGTAACAGGACTGACTGGTGTTCCAGTTTAACAATGAAGCACATGCAGTCGTACACAGCATGACATAAAAATAAATAAATACTGGGACTTTGGTTTTGGTGAGA